TTTAGAATTGAAACTTTTACACTGAAAGGACCATGAAACTCTGCGTGCTACATCCCAGATTCAGTTGTCTCTGACCATTCTTTCACCTGAAAAACTTACAGGACTAAACTATGATAATGAGAGCAAGCCAGAAAATACAGTATAGAAGAGTATAATGTGGAAAGTAAAGTTCTTCAACAGTCCTCCTAATAATTCCCCAAAGTAACAACTGTTGTTTCTTGTATAATTGTCTGGAAATTTCCTGTGTACACACAAGTATATATGTTTATTCTTCAAAATAAGTATTGAATATCCCTTATATCTAGATCCCCAGCCTCTCAGGGCACACCCCCAGAGACAACCAGTGTTACGTTTCTTATGGATCTAGAGAACATTTTAACATAGTTATAAGCAAAAACACATATATTCTCTCTCTTTCTCTCTCTCTCACACACACACAATATAACATGTTTATGTGTATGTTTTCTCCTTAAAGATCCTACATGTTTGGGATTGGGGTTGTGGCTCACTGCCAGAGCACTTGCCTAGCATGTGGGAGGCACTGAGTTCTATCCTCAGCACCACATATAAATAAATAAATAATAAAGGTACATCAACATCTAAAAATTATTTTAAAAAAAGAAAAAGATCCTATATGTTTTATATTTTCAGAAAATGTACATTATCACAGCCTTATATAGGAATGTATTTTTCTCACATCTGCACTACATTGGATTCCATGTCTTTTTGGTTTTGCCAATCTGTTGGTGAAAGTAGTCTTTCATTTCTTGTGCAGTTTCTCTTCACTTTTCTTGTGTTGGAGATTAAACCCAGGGCCTTGTACATGCTAAACACATGCTCTACCATTGAGCTACATCCCTGCCCCTTTGCTGTATTTTTCCTTAATTTTGAGTTTGAGCATCTTTTCATATATTTAGCTGCATATCTTTTGTTCACCTTTAAATTTTTTTATTAATTTATGCAAAATCTTTACATATTTAAGAAGTTAGCCCTTTGTTATATGGCTTGCACCTGTATAGTCTTTTAAAATTAAACCTTAATCACTACTTATTTTTCTTTTTACCTTAGATATACACGTCTCAAAGAAAAAGAAGAGGAAATTACCCTCTGATGTGAGTGAAGGCAAAACTGTTTTTATCAGGTATGCTTTCTACCTAGAGAACTGTTGTTTTCATTGCCTTGACAGATTTCCTCTCTTCCTTTTTTTCCCCCCCCCTCTTCTCCCACTTACCCAACTCTTCTCCCCACTTCTTCTTTTTACCTCTCTTTTTTCTTTCTCCTCTATCCCATCTTCCCCTCCCATCCTGCTCCCTCCTATGCTTGCTTCCTTTGGGCAATATTCATGTTACCAAGCCCAGAAAGTTACATGCTGTAAGACCATTAGGACATCACATCTGATCTGGGAATGTACCAAACAATGGGACACACAGGAAAATCAGAACTATAAAGCAGAAAGTAAGGAGTGGCAGGGGTCCGGTTATTTTGTCCTCTTTAGATTTCATTCTTTGTAATTTGGGTGGCATTATTTGGAACAAATTAGCATCTCAACTGTTAGGAACATCTTGGTTCTAGCCTTTGTTTTAGAGGGAATACTGGGGTGACACATTTGTCACAAATGATTTTTCTCTCCATACTACCTTACCTTTTAAAGCAGTGTCCAGAATAAGTAAGACATGCTGTTTCCAAGAAAACGTGGTGGTGTGGGATGAGGGTAGAACTTGGTCTTATTACACATTTGTTGTTGCTATTTCAGCCCTACCAACAGTAGATTGACGTTTTTATAGTTTAGGGTATCTTCAGTTCACCTCAAGCATGTCTTCTAGTCCTTTCCTTAGTTCTAGTGCACTAGGCTCATTTGGGTCTACTTTTAGAAGTATGTATTTTATTCTCCTGTTTAGTCTTTTAATATTGTTTTTGTTATATAGGTAACTTATATGTTCATTGTAGAATATTTGGCAAATACATGAGCAGGTAGAAAAAAAAATTAAACCTTAATCACTACTCAGAAATCATCCCTACAGATGCCCACATAAATATTTTTACAAAGATGAGTTTGGCCAAAACTGGCTATTTCCCATTTCTTGCTTAATAGTAACTTATGTTACTATTATATCTTTCCATAGTTTTTCCATTTTTTTAAACTGCAAAATTTGGAACTTCCATGTAAATAATTTTGTATTACAGAAAAGAGAAAAGTTACATTCAGAAGCCTGTGACCTCAATACCAAGGATTCCATTACTTTTCTGTATGTGTTTTAGTTAATAACTTAGGGAAATAAAGGGGTGAAATAGGATGTAAAGGGGTTGGATATACATGATGAAGCAAATTAGAAGAAATAATATAGACATATCCTCTATATATCTTATTATACAAAACTTCTATTTATTTGATTATCCCATAAACTAGAATTAGTTATGGGGTTATTTATTGAGTATAAGCAAAGTAAAATTGTTGCAATTACTAGGAGCTATTTTTTATAACCCTGGAAGGATGTGCATAGCTGGAGAGATGAGGAATCTTTATAGTATATCAAAATTTAGGAGAACAGAATCTTCCAGCCTTTGTAATTCCATCAGAAGAAATAAGTACAGGTTGAGTATTCCTTATCTAAAATGCACAGAACCAGAAGTGTTAAAAAAGATTTGAGTTTTTCAGATTTTAGAATATTTGCATACATTTTACCAGTTTAGTGTCTGTCTCTAATCCAAAAGTCCAAAATACAGAGTCCAGAAGTTTTTGAGCATCATGTCTGTGCTCAGAAAGTTAATTGGTATTTGGGTTAGAGATGCTAAACATGTAATTATTTATTTTTTTGCACTTAGCTAGTACACTTTATTATATTTCTATTTCTGTTATTATGAAGGAGTTTCTGACTTTTATAGAATTTTAATAGAAACCTAGATTTCATAGAAACACAGAAGAAAAAACTGTCTAATCTGGGGTGAGAGGGACAGAACTTTTTCTCACTAGACTGTTGTAGTAAGAGAAACTTTGGTTGTATGTAGTAAGAGAAACTCATTTTGGCCATCCTGAGTGAAAAAGAGAGTTTGTGGGATAAACACAAGGGTGGCTTATAGAATCAAAGTTGTCAAAGAGTGGACCTCAAAAAGCTGATGAGAATCTGGGTAATTCTAGGACCTTGCTGCTGGCGTCTGTGGGTCTTTTCTATAGCGACCCTGCCTTTTTTTTTTTTTGGAATAGGTATAACATGTTATGTAAAGTACATTACTAGTAAGTGAAAATTTTCACATGTATATATTTGTACAACCACCACCTAGGTCACTTTGTAGAAGATTTCTAGTACCTTGGAAGTCTTGGTTGGGATACTGCTATTTTGAATAGAATTCAAGTCTTTGTATATGTCTATTTAAGTTTCATTCTCTGCTAGATAATCTGATTGATATAAGAAAGTCCCTTGGGACCAAGGGGCAGAGTCCTATTGCAGAAGCCTGATTATTGGAGTCCACCCCTTCTGTATTGGTGCTATTTCTGAACAAGGAAGAGTGGTTGTGAGCAGTTGTGTTCATTCCCGCCCCCCCCTTCCCCCATGGACAAAAGCAATTCTCTGAGCCTCTCATTCACACAAGTGAGGAAACTGCCAGAGAGGCACCAGAGGCAAGGGCCCTGGCCTTCTCCCCTTCTCTGCTCCTCTCTCCCCACCCCCTCCTTCTCTCCCTCCCTCTTTCCCCCTATAAATGTCTAATTCATTTACTTTGTAGTGGAACATAGATCTCACTTTGTAATTGGCCTTTCTTGTGACCTTCTGGTTGTCTTCGTAGAAACCTGTCCTTTGACTCAGAGGAAGAAGAACTTGGAGAGCTCCTCCAGCAATTTGGAGATCTTAAATATGTCCGCATTGTCTTGCATCCAGACACAGAACATTCTAAAGGTATTTGCCACCAGCTGGCCATTGCCATGGATGTTGACTGGTCCCATGAAGGCATAATGTGTACCATTCTGAGGTGTCCACAGTCTGTTCTGCCTCTGGCTTCCTTAAGCCCAAGGATGTTCTGAAGTTATCTTCCATGATGTCAAACAGTAGCTTTAATGGTGCTGCCAGCCATAATTTTATATAAGCTTTTTAAGCCCTTGCTTATTTACTTTAGAGTAAGTAATGAATTTCATTTGTTGTTCTCTGAATTTCAAAAATGATAACATCTCATAGGTATTTATCATTCCACATTACTTGAAAGTGCAGCGCCCCCTTCTTTTGTTAGAAATGGAAGCTGACAGAGAAACTTTGTTGCATGGCAACAATCAGAAAGAAAACTATGTAGCAGGAGTGCTGCCTGAGATTTTTTTTTTCCCCTGAAATTATGTTGTGCTCCAAAGGTTAACCTCTTATTGTAGTATATCACTGTTAAATAAGGATTTTCAGCCCATTCTGATCTTTGTCTTCTTGGATTGTATTTGTTCTTTTAAAGCACTGGATTCCTTTGAGATCTAGCAAAAGGTAGAAACTCTCCAGAAAAATGCTACTTCTGAAGGTGTGGGCTCTTTAGAAATTATCCATAGATTAAGAATATGTAGTCTAAACCTTATTTTCCAAATTGATAACACTATCATTTTTTAAATTTTTACTCAGAAAAAGAAATATAAATATGTCAGAACTAAACAGCTTTCTGGAGGTTAGGAATAAAATCCCAACCATGCCACAGATGAGTTGGGTGATTCCTGCCCCTCACCCCCATCCAATCTGGGTGATTTTGGGCAAATCATTTAACTACTGTGGGCTTTATTTTTTTCTTTTAATCTGTAAAATGAATGGGTTCAACTATAATAACCACTTAGGTGTCTTCTGCCTAATATTCAGTTATTCTTCTTGGACCTTCTTCATTGCCAGTGTTTTTCTAAAAATGGGCAGCTAGAGTTACTTAGAATATTCCAAATATGGGTATGATATTGCTTTACTTTTATGGTATTCAATATCTTTTACCCCTTCTTGAGTACACTAGTATATTGGGTTGATATTTTCAGAATGTAGTTTACATTTGATTTACTATATGTCTTTTGGGCGTGCTGAGAGCCATAGCCGAGTCGGAATGACGCATGGCATTTTTGCTGGCTGTTTGTGGTAGGTGAGCTCCCTGCTGGTTAAGCAGAACCACCGTTTCTTGAAGTTCTTTTTTCCAATTCGAGTTCTTCCCTGAGCTCTTTTATTCATTTCACCTTCTTTCAGGTGCACAGGCTTGCTTGTACTACTGGACTCTTTAGTTTCAGTCGATGAAATTTCATCCAAGAACTTTTTAACTGCTATAGTAAATCCTTCTTCTTGAAACATTTTGAAAAATTCACACATGAATGTCTCTTTGAAACTTGACTTGCTTTTAGAAAGGCTCCCCCAGCTTCCCAAAGTTTGAATGGTTTTTGAGATGAGAGTTAATGTCCTAATTGTCTGTGCATCTGGATGATAAGGTCGAAAATGAAAAGTATGAGGTGATACTACGGCTACAGCAAAGAAACAAAGAAATACAAAGCTGCTCACTGCAGAGTACTGAACATGAGGGTCATTAGGAAATCTCTGAGTAGCCATTTGCCTTAGAGAATAAAAGATATTACACATTTCAGTGGGGTAGCTCATACTTTATCTTACAATTGTACTAAATAACTTGTCCACATAGTAATGCAGATTTTCCTTATTGTTTTCTACATTATCTCCCTCTTTCAATTTAATAGGATCAATTTCACAGGATTTTGAGGATTCACATATCTCATCTAGAGTAGATTTTAAGATTACTTTCAGGTAGTGCCCTCCCACTATTTTCATCATCTCATCCAGACATTGGGTAGCCAGAGAGTTTTCTCTAAAAATTGTGTTTGCATCTTGGGTATCCTTCAAGTTTAATTCCGCCACTGCTGTGACAAAAGGAACAAGTTTATCATGGTGCAGCAGCAATCGTACAAAAGGCAAAACTGCATCATTTTTATATCGATGTATTTCACCCAAAATGTAAGCAGCTGAGGCAGATATTGGCTGAACATCTGGTGTTTTTTAGCAGCAAAGTTTTCAAAGGACCATAGTACTCTGAAGGAAGCACATAGTATGCATTGTGAACTATCTGTTGGTGCAGCGAATTGTGGTAGTGCTGGAGTATCTTTGCTAATGGTGTCACTAGTGGTACAATTTTTCCAAAGGAATCGTCATTTGGCTTGGTGTTGTGGCGTTCTGCATCCTCCTCCCTTCTGCTAGTGATGGTCTAAAATTTGGGAGCCAACAGAGGTGAGGCAAGGAACCTCACACCCCCCACTGGCAAAGGCCAAATCTGGGGGCCAACAGAGGTGAGGCAAAGAACTTCATCCCCCCACTGGTGCATAGGCCTATCCACAAGTATGGCCATATGCTGGACTGGTAGTCAGTGACGGGTAAGATCCAATTGCAGTGGTATCAACCTAAGACAGGAGGCTGACGCCTTGGATCATATGTAGTATTGGACAGCCTAACAGGCACGATCCCTAAGCCA